CACAGACATCTGTGTCTCCCTGAGAAATAACTTTTTCACCACCAGAGCCATCCAACAGAGAAATAAGCCACTTCCTATGGGAGTGAACTCCCACTATCGGGAGGTGGTGAGGCAGAGCCGCTTCTCAGAGCTGTGGGGAAGTGGTCCAGCACCGGACAGGGAGGTAGAGGCTGCCTGAGATTCGAGGATGCTATGTTTATAATGGAGATGGCCTTTGGCCACACAAGCTTTTTGTGAAGTGATACCAAGGGAGGGCCTGCAGTTTCACAGTGAGTACTTCGGCGAAGCAAGGCTCGGGGCTTTTCCAAAGTAGGATCTAGTGGACAATGTCTAATGGCCTTTACAGTGAGCTCCTAGAAAATGGAGTGAGCCCTTACTGTGTGGAGCCAGTGCTAAAGCTCAGGTCATGTGGTATGGACCAGGGAGCAGAGGGTGCTGGGCTACCCTCAGGTGAGTGGCATGCTTAGCCCTGTTTGGGCAGAAAGCTGCTGTTCCCATACTGGCTGACATCACTGAAGGGAGGCCCTGGGCCTCAGTATGGTCTCCTGGGTCTGGAGGAGGGGTCGTTCTTATGCTCTATTGCCCTCTTTTCCTCAGGAGGAAATCAAACTCAATGCCAGCATGAGAACCCCCAGGCTCTTTATGTTGGATTTTTAAGAGCACAGGTCTGGGGCCCTGCGTGGGAAAACAGAGTGAAGAGAAGCAAATCTCTTCGAAACAGTGCTTTTGCCCAGAGCTGCTTCTAAGTGAGGGGAATTTCCTGAAGCCTGGGAGAGCCAGAGCGAGCATTCTTCTCCAGCACAGCACTTCGGTGAAGTCCATGTGTGATAATACCGCTGTAACCACAAAGGAATTTACCACAGGAAGTGTCCCAGCTGTTGCTTATTAGCATTAGAACAAATTACACAAAGCAAATTGTTAGCAGACATGTTTCCATAATATTTAACTGGTGGCGATAAATAAGAGCCATTCTCTTTCAAGTAAATGCTACATTTCCAAAACTCCAGCTTCCAATTGTCTGTGATGGGATCATCTTCGATTAAGATGACCTTTGGAGGGGATGACACTCTGGATGCTGAGGTGTGTGCCCAGTGCTCCCCCTCAGGAGCTGGGCTGGCAGCTTGGGGGCTGCGTGTGAGTGTAGTGGGTGACACTGGGAGGTGGAGCAGGAGTATCTGTGCTTATAGATGTCTGACCATCTGCTGGATCCACTTCTGAGGTTCTCAGCATGGTCTTTTCTTGCCACGAGGGAACATAGGTGATAGCAAGGCAACAGCAGGGCTGAGCAACTCTTCAGGCTTTGGCGTGTGTTTGTGAGGAAAAATAAGCCAGTTCTTAATGAAATGTTGCATTAAAAAAAATAAATCTCGTACATCACAATCCCAAGTCTTGCTATCTAAGATTCTTTTTAGAGCTATGAGTCAAATGTCCGCATCTTCTAGCCCCACTGGAGAAGAACTAAAAAGGTGCCTGCTGGCAGATTCATACAGAGTGCTCGCCTCCTGCTCACACAGATGAAAACCTGCTATATTTTTAGAAAGAGAGCAGATCTCCATCTTCCAAGACCTCTGCAGAGACAGGATTCCAGTCCCTGGTCACCTGTCATCACTTTCTGTTCTCTTCTGAAAATTCTCCTAAAACAGTCTCAAAAAATAATTTTAAGTACTTTAAATTTAAAAAGTAAGAAATGTCCCACATAGCACATAAATACAAAAATAGGTGATTGTACCTTTTAGAGATGGGCCTGTTCGAAAAGCTCCTCTTTTATTGTTTTCCTAAGAAATTGATGGTGTTGTCTTACCTCCCTCACTGCTTTCCTTTTCAAGCAAACCAGCCTGAAGTCAGTATTCCTTTCTGTGTATTCCAGTATCACACTCAGTTCTCCTGAGGCCCTCTCCATTTTTTCCCCCTGAAAGGAAAATAACGGGGCTGCCTGCCAAAGGGACAGGATGGGAGCCCAGTGTAGGCCCTGAAAGTGGCCCCAGATGGCTGCTCTTGGGGTGTACCCTGATGCCATAAGAGGGGATGCCTCACAGAAAGAGCCTAGTCTTTGCCAGCATTTAAAACTAATCAAACATAATAACTGATCCACTTCCAGCTACTCCTAACTCTCTTATGTCTAAAGTAACAGGAAACATAGCCTGCCTGCCCCCCCCCAACACACACACCTTTTACCTGAAGAATTCACAAAAGGAATAATGTGTTTTATAAAATATTTTAAATGCCTTGAGCAACAGAATTCTCTTGATTTTTTTTTAAGGTGTTTAACAGACAAGTGTAATTGGAAATGTCTGGAATGCAAAAACACACATATATATACACTTTAATTTGGTTTTATGCAAAACGATGTCATGATTTGCTACAACCTGAAGCAAGCTACTGCCATAGACTAACAAGAGCCATATTTGTGCAACTAGGAGGTTTCCCGCCCCCTGAATAAGCTCACATTTGGACAAGGATGACACCCATGGCCTGGTTCTTTCAGGCCTGTTTAGAGGAAACGGCCTGGTATGTTTTACATTTGCTAAGCTATTTAGCTGCGTGGTTTGACAAGATTTTTGAAAGGGGTGAAAATTAATTATAACTGGTATTGCTACAATAATTTGGTCAGCTAATTGCATCTCAGTGCAAAAACACGCAAGGAGGAATTTCCTCCTGGGGTTATTCTCTGATACGGCAGCATTCATTTTAAGAGTAATGAGATTTTTTAAAAAGTCAAACCTTAAATATCATGGCTTCAGCCATCTGTACTGATTCAAGTTTAATGTGACAGAAGATGGCACTTCCATGAGCCCCACTGCCGTGAACGTGGATCCAGTTTCTCCTAGACATGAGATGGGAAGATCTCTTCCTTCTGAAAACTATTCAAAGCATCACTTTGACAAGGCTTGGGGGTGATTTTAATTTGGGGCTACTAATGTTGATGTGTTTGTAATGAGAGAGGAGAAAATTCGGAAGTCTTTAAGTGAGGTATATGTTGATAGAAGAGACAGCACAAGTTTCAGAGGGTTGAGCAATAGACGTGAAGTGAGAATCATGCTGCCAGTAGACTTTCTGGGTCACCCTGTTTTCACAGGGGCCGTTCTGAATACATGAGCTACCCATGGCTTTGTGAGGCACACGGTTGACTCAGACCAGCAGGGAGCATTTAGAGCTAAGAAACATTCAAGGCCAGGGCCATTTATCACTTCACAATCTTGAAGACTCCACCAATGGCTGATTCAGGGTAGCTTTGTCACGTGCCAAAATCAACCGATGATGGTAAATTCTCGTTCAACCTGATAATTCAAACGCAGGAACAAGGCCTTCTCCCTTCCTTCCTTCCTTCCATGATCTATGTCCAGTACACCAGTTGTTTCTGTGTTAGACTTTCTCAAATATCACTCGCAGTGGGGAGTCTAAAGACATGACTAGAATATTTCTTATGGCCTTCATCTAAGTTCTGACTGATTTACAGAAGAGCAACATGCATACCTACCCAGGGCTGCCCTCAAGGTTGTACAGATATGTCCTTCAGAAGGGCACGTAGTTGAGGAATGTGGGGTTGAAGTCTTGCTCCACTCATCCGTGGAGACCCCTGTGCAAGCTGCATCTTGGAGACGGCTGGGCCTTTTCTAATTCACGTTTGGGACAAAGGAGGCCCTGAGTTTTCCAATAGCCTCACCTCCCCAGAGATCACAGTCTATTTCTCATCTCCTTGCCTCCAACATGAGGCATGTAAGGAAGAGGATAGACCTGTGGCAAAGGTGAATTCGTTTTGAAGATAAATTTTCTGTTCAGTAGAGACAGGAGAAAAAAAGAGAAAGGGAGAGGATTAAAAGAACAGTGAGAGGTTGCCCTTCTGCCTAGTAAATTGTGTATTTGTCGTCCTTCGCTGGACACAGCTGCAAAGGGGTGGAAAATCAATTTTTTTCTATTACTCCAAGGTGAAGAAGGAAAACCTATTTGTAAATTGAATTAAGTTCAAGAAGAGCATGTCTGTATATTTGCTGAGGACTAGAAAAATTAGCCACCGATAAGACTACATCACCCAGCGATGTAACTAGAAAGAAACACTGTTCCATTTCAAAGCTTCGTTGAAACATTTCCTTTTTTTCAAAAGAAACACCCATGGCTAAATGTCACTGAGACTCTTCAGTGTGCCAACACATTGACACCTCAGCAGGGACTCTGGAAGTGAAGGGACTCCAAAGCCCTATCTAGGAACATCTTGGTTCCAAATTCTTGCCTTTGCCTGTGCATCGCACTCTGTCGATCACGATTGGATATAACTAGTACCTTGTAGAAGACGATTTCTTCACAAGTTGCAATCTGTGGTGCTTACTGTGAAATAACTTTCCTCTGTCTCTGCAGATCTATTTCACAAACGCACTGACCCAGCCGCTGGGACAAAATCCTCACAGCCTACTTACTGCACAGAGGCTCCTGCAATTTCAACATCAATCCGCCCTCTAGTGGAGTGAAACAGTACTTCAGATAACCAGGAATAAAAAGGATTTTCCCCCTCCTCTTTCAGAGAGCAAAAGAATTCAAGTTTTCCAGATAGTGCAAGATGAGACATTTATCCTCAAAAGACAGCTTCTAGAGCTGAACCAGTTGAGATTCACAATGGTGCCCAGGGTGAAGTTAAAGGCCGGTGGTGCTGCAGGGGGAAATGCCAGCAGAGCCTGGAGATGAAGGTCCTCTCACAGCCCCAAGCCTTGGGGTCTCTCCTGGGGTGACAGCATTCAGTTCCCCACTTATTACAGGAACAGGACCCACTCTAAGAGCAGCCAGTCTATCAGGAATGTTAAAAAATAATAGACTTTGGGATAATTTTTGGCAAATCAACATAGAGGGGCCTTTCCAAAGGACCATGTTGAGTTTTTAAAAAGATAAAGACACACGTGTCTTGTAAGAAGGCTTCATGGCTGTCATTTTTAAGAGGACCTATCTTGTGATGGGAACCGGATGTTGATAAGGCAGAAGATGATCTTGAGATTGGCTGTCTGGGTTTTGCTTCTGTCTTTTCAAAGCCTTCAGAACTTGGCTTGCTTCAGTTTATCAATGTGGTAGCAGAGCTTCAGCGCAGGTCCCAGCTTCAGGCCCAAGTACTTCATGATCATGTCACTCTTCAACAGCAAGAGAGCATTGCCATCAATCTCCTGGTGGGATGGATCAGAAAGAAGAAAGCCCGGAAGATGATCAGCGTAATCATATAGCACCTATGGCTTCAGCATCATCAGGAGTGAGGTCAAGGTATATGGATTTGATTAGATGCCTATCCCCTTGGCCCCAGGGAAAATAAAGCTTCTTTCCTATCATCTCTCTAGGTTCATTTGATACCCTGTATCTTTCCTATTTCTGTTCTACCCTGATTGAAAAAATAAAGCGTGGCTCCACCCATGTACCCAATACCACCTGACTTGGGGCTTAAGGTCTAAGAAGTATGTGATTCACTGAATGCTTGTGTCCCTCAAAATTCATATGTTGAAGTCCTAACCCCCCAGTATGATGGTATCAGAAAAGGGGGAACTTTGGGAGGTAATCAGGTCATGTGTGTTTGGGGGGGGGAGGGTCTTATGAGTGAAATTAGTGTCCTTACTAGGGCAACCTCAGAGAGCTGTGTAGAAGTTTCCCTGCCATGTGAGGATGCAGAGAGTAGATGGCCATCTGAAACCCGGAAGGGGAACCTCACCCAAAGCACACCATGGTGGCAGCCTGATCGTCACAATGAGCAATGAGTTGCTGCTGTTTAGAAGCCAGACCGTCTAGTATAATCAGAACTGACTAAGGCAAAGTATCTTCCATTAAATGCTAAACTAGAGTTACCTTTTTGTTCCAGGTGCTGTTATGAGACCCCCAACTTCTGTCCATCACCCTAATCTATTTTTCCCCATCAAACCTTAAATGATCACCAAACTGCTAATTATACCCCCTTGAGGTGTTTCAGGTGCTTTTTGGTCCTGTCAATCTAGGTGACACACAACTAAGTAATGCACCTGCTTCATCCCAGGGCTTATCGCAAAGACCTCCTAGAGGAACACCAGTCCTCTGAGACCCTGGTGTCGCCCCCACTTGTCTCTGAAAACGTTATCCCTTTCGACTGCGTTTCCTTCTTTACTATAGTGCTATTTTAGGATCACTAGAGATAGGCAGTAGAAATTTGGGGTGCTCAGGTGGAGAGAAGAGGCCTAGCTACAGTAGCCATATAATTGTGCAAGTGTACCAGGCCCTCTTACCCTTTCATCCAGCCAGCCAGCCCGTATTGATGAGACACCGCTTCGTATCATCCACTCTCCATGTCCTCAGCAAAATGACCAGTGTGGACAAAGCTCACCTCGTTATTTAGCATTCTCTCTTTACTCTGTATTCTCTCTTTACTCTGCCTCCTGGCGTTCCACCATCTCCGACTACTCCAGAAGAAAGCGGGACTCTCCCCAAATATGGCTGGACATAACCCACTCTGTGACCTTTGCTTTCAAGTACCTGATTTTACTTGAAAGGTGTCACCTAGATTGACAGGACCAAAAAGCACCTGAAACACCTCAAGAGGTCAGACATATCCCTAGTAAAATATGGATTTTGGGTTAGATGAGGATACTTCCTAAATCTGAGGATAAGGTTTCTATGATAGCATCACCAAATACAAAGAGATGGGAAGGGGGAACATAATATAACTGTGGTGGGCAGAACAGCGCCCCCTTGCGCCCCCAAGGTGTTTGTGTCCCATTCTCTGAAAGCTATGCTTATGTCAGGTTACCTGGCAAAGGGGGATAATGTTGCAAATGGAATTAAATTGGCTAATCAGCTGACTTTAAAATAAGGAGAGTGTTGCACTGGCGACCTGAGAAAGATTCAGCTTGATGTGATTTCCTTTGAAGATGAGCATGAGGGGACCCAAGCCAAGAAGTGAAGGGAGACAGAAACACTGGGAAAGGCAAGGAAAAGAATTCTCCCTAGAACCTTCAGGAAGAATGTCCTGCCGACACCCTGACCTTCGTGCTGTGAGACCCTGTCCGATTTCTGACCCACCCGCCTGTGGGATCATAAATGCGTGTTGCTTTATGCTGGTGAGAACAGGTTGCAGCAGCCATGGAAACCATGGCAAGTAAAGTATTAATTCTTGCCTTTGTTTTTCAGTTTAGCGTCTTCATGAATTTCAGAACCTTTGAAGTAATGACAATAACACCTGCTAACTGAAGGTTACCTAGGACGCAGGCATTTGTTGGGTACAGTGTGTGCATTTTCTCATGGGTCCTCTGAGCAGCTTAGGCCTGGGTGCTGTGGCATATTGCAGGTGCCCGTACCTGCTTGTGAATGCACAGACGGCTAGATGGGCAAGGAAACAGGCATGCCTGACAAAGACCAAAAGGAGGGAACAGATAGGACAACTATCCCTTAAAAACAAAACTAGGTGGTTGTTCTTCTCGGAGACACCTGTGGTTCCATCTGGCCTCCCCAGGGCTCTGTTCACACCCACTCCCCCACCCCAACCCCAATGCAGCTCCTTGAATCTCACTCTCTACCCATGCCCCCCGCCCGCTATCCCCTCCTGGGCCAGGCCCACCGCTGCGTACATGCTTTCTGAAGAGCTCCACGTGCGGGCCCAGGGCCTGCGGGTCGGCTTCTTTCACGAACCAGACCACATCCTCCACGGTCCAGGTGGAGGGGTTCCTGCTTCTCAACCGCCTGGCATCCTGCCCACCTGGAGAAGGACTTGAGGCTGAATGGATGAGCATAGAGAAGAGACCATGAGACCCAGAACCAGGGCCTCAGCACCTGCCTGACACCGCTACCTGCTGCACCCCACCCGGCCTAGAAGAGGGCTCCTCAGTGTCCCTGAGACCAGCGTGACAAAGACTGTGAGTGTCTACTCTTAGGAGCCGATAGTGGGAGTGGGGCAGGAGGTAGGTAGATAATAGTGGGGGGAGGGGGCCATTCCCTGTTTGTGCAAGGTACTCTGGTCTCCCAGGGAAGAAGCATGAAAAGAACAGTGTCCTTCACCAGGCTGAAGTCCAACCCGCATTACTGTGTGAGACTCTCCTGCTCAGTTCTGTGTCAGGCCAGAGCGCCCCTGGACATGCCGTGACCAGGGAAGTTGTGTCAGGATAGATGTCCACTTTAGCCTCCATGGTGCGATGAAGCTGACATGACTTAAGGTCCCTCCTGCTTCTGCTGGTGTTAGTCACACAGAAACAAAGAGGCAGGAGGACTGAGGTGTATTGGTCATCTCGCTCACCCACTCCTTAGGACCCCTGTCTGTGAGGGGCCCAGCCCCTGCTCTGAAGAGGCAGAGAGACACATTTTTGTCCTCACTGCCCCAGGTTCATACAAACACCTCCTTGGCCCTCAGGGCCCTTACTCAGTTCCCCCCACCAGACTGGGAATTTCCTTTTTCATTTGATTTATTTTATTTTGTCATGTCCTTGTTAACATCTGAACAGTATTTGATTTTGCCCCTCGGGTATAATCTACGTCATGCCTTCCTACCCCCATAGCCCCTGTAATCCATTTTTTTGGTCCCTTGTGCTCTTCCCTGTTTTGACCCCCACCCACCCTACCCCACTCCTCCCTGCTGTGTGCCTCAGACCTAAGGTCAGCTTACAGTTTTTTAGGCTACAGATATCTTGATAGCAAAGGGCCTACTCCTGTGCCTGGCCCATAGCTGATCTTTGATAAAGGACTGTTGCATGAGTTGCAGTGTTGCACAGATGAATTTCTCACATGGCAGATTAAAAAGCTACAGGGCAAGTGAAGAAGAAAACAGGTAGAGAATCAGATTTAAGTGGCACTTAAGGGTTGATCTTTTTTCCTGCATATCCTAAATGAACTCATTCTTTTCCCTCAAAACCAGCTTCTCTTTGATCTTTTCTATTTCTGCAATATCAGTGATATGTCTATCTTCTTCTGCTCCTTCTTTGCACCCCATATTAATTACTCTACAGTTCTTTTTCACATTGCTCTCTGCTTTTCCAACCCTGGTACAGAAGCCCTGTGATGGTTTTCTAGTGGGTCTTCTTCTAGAGCTTCAGCAGGCTACTGTCCCCAAGACCTAGCTCTGTCCATGCCCCTCATAAGCACTCTCCCTGTGAATGCCTCTTGCCCACACATTCAGTCCATATTCCAGGTCAAGCTCAAGGATTCTTTTTGGTCTTGCTACATATTGCTCTCTGAGACAGAAGGGGGAAAGAGCTTTGAGGTACCTGGGACAAATCCTGCAGCTGCCTATTGCCAACTGAACTTGACTTGGCACATCAAAGGCAAAAACAGCAGTGCTCCCCACCTGGAACAATGGGTATGAGGACGGAAATGGGGTGAGACCTGCCTGCTGCTATGGCCAACCTGTATCAGGTGCCTTTATCAGCAGCACCCTGCCTGCTCACCTACCTTCCCGCACACGCTTTTGAACACACGGGTTGTGAGTGTTTCCTTAACTTCCCTTCTCTGCTGTTAGCTGGTGTTTTTCCCTCTCTCTACCAAGCACACATCCTCCTTCCTTTCCCCTGAAGTTCCACCAGCCAGCAAGACCCAGGTGGAACATTTCATAGATAGCATTTCTGTGTCCTGCCATTTGGATGTCACCTTCCTCCACCTTCACTCCCAAATCTGTTTCAGTCCCAAAACTTTGTTCATCTGCACTTAAGGTGTTTTCACATTCTTCCTCATTTTGCAATTATGTGCATTCTTGCCTGTAACCTCTGGTTAGATTTAACTTCTTGAGGACTGTCTTTCATATCTTACTCCACTGACCAACCTCCCCCCAGAAACGGCTAGTGAGCATCTGTAAAGTGTGGGGAAAGAATAGGATCCTCTCCTTGCAGGATTTATAATAATTGACTCCTTCAAGCCTCTAAGCAGATGTCTTTCCAAATATGCGTTCAATAAATGTCAAATGAATCAATATACTTTGCAGAATCAGTATAGGTAACTTACATAAAATTTCATGTGGCTATTCCTCAATCCTATTTTCAAGACAGAAAACGTCAGGTTCTGAACAAGGAAGCAGTTTCCCTACAGAGTAATTCTAAGTAAGCTGAGAAGCCTTTACTTGTTCCCCTTCTTTAATCTCAGGGTACAGTGGTTTCCTACTTTCTTATCTCCTCCTTTCTAACAGCCTCAGAAGTGTACAGTTCTCCATTAGCACTGAGAAAAGGCCAGCATCATATTTCTGAGCTTCTCCTTAATACATAATGCTTTGGTGGGAACTGGGCTTACTTTGAGGTTCTCCCTGCTTTTTCTTTTCTTGCTGGACCTGGCAGGGTCCCATAAGGTGGTTTGGCACGGGGCATTTTGCCGGGAGACTGTTAATGCGCCCCGAAGCCATCTGATTGCTGGTGCCTGCTTATTAGAGATGATTCCACTGCATTTAAAGACATCTGCACTCAACATGGGCACGAAGAGTCGCGGAAATCGCACTCGTTTTGGGGTTCCGCCCCATCAGAGCGTGGGCGTTAATCATGGTGATAATAGATGCTCTGATTACAAAGGCTGGAAGTCTTTGGTGCCAAGAATGATTTTAGAGTGATCAGAGCAGAGGTCAAATCTAATTTCCTGTATTTGACAGGAAGGAAAAACACCAGATTGATTCACGGCCTCATCCCTGGGAGCCTAATGTCTGTCTTTGGAGCAAAAGCAGGGAACTACTTACTCAAGAGCCACCACCAGGTTGAGCAAAGGGGCCCCATCCAGTGGGCAAAGTGGGATGGCTCCTGGCACATGGCGCTGGCTGTGAGCATTTTTCACGTTTTGGGGATGGAGGGAGCAGGGGGCCTGGCCTGGAAGTTTCTCTGAGGGGCTTTTTAGTCATACAACACAGAGCAGCAGGAAGTCTGTCACAGCTCAGGAGATGCTCATGATCCAAATCACATAAACTCATTCTAGAGGAAGAGAAAGGGAACTGTCCAGTGGCAGGTTTATAAAGCCTTTGCAGTGGTCTCAGCTCACAAAGATAATAAATGCATTAGCACCCACCCTGGCCCCTTGCCAGTGGCCACGGTGTCAGGAAGACAGATGGGGCCAGGCGGGAGTGATAGATGCCCTTCGGACATAATGAACGTGAAAAAATCTTGCTCCCAAAGCCCATGCAAAGCAGGGCTCACACAACCTTACCTGGGGCGGGGGCCTGGAGGGGGATCTGCAGGGGGTGGGCGTTAGCTGGGGCTGCTGGAGACGTTTGCAAAGGGAAGTCCCTTGTGAAAGATGATTAACTAAAGGCTGTGGTGGTTTCTGAAGCTGAATTCATGTTCCCCAGCAACAGAGTGACTATGAAGCAGTGTTTAGAGCAAATCCTCAACATTTTCTTTCACAGCTCAGGTACTTGTCACACACTGCCTTACGCATACCCACGGCACACACGTGATTTCCTTGTGCTCATTCATAATTCAGGGAAATTTTTTAGCTAACAGTAGAGTCATGTAGGAGGATGGAATGAGCAATGAACTGGGAATCGGAAAATCCTGCACCCACCAGCGATGAGAGCATCTGAGTGTTCTGTACATGGAGGGTCTGGCAGGCCCACTGGAGTGCTCCATGCCAGGCTCTGCAGCGACCCTGCAGCAAGTGTCTTAGGCACACAAAGGCAGTTACCTCCTCACACACCTGCAGGCCTCATAGTGGGTTCATGCGTAAAGCACTCTGAAGAGCTGAAGGTCAGCCTTCCAGCAAAATCCTGTCCCTGATCACTCTCTACGGGCCTTCATTTCTTCATCTTGGTTCTCAAGAATATTCTAACAACCCAGTGAATGGGTGGCTTGGAACCTTGAAACACCTTGAAAAGAAGCCCATCAGTCTCTAAAAGACCCCTCTGCGTCCTTCCTTGGCTGCTGGTAAGCCCCCCTCAGTCCTCCCAGCCTCTCTAGCAGTGGGGGCCAGGATAATAAGGGAAAGGTTAAAGGGAATGGGATGACAGATTGTTCTTTACTCCAGGCCCTCCCTCGTGGTGCAACAGGTTAAAGTGTAGCATTAGGAAGCTAGCTGAGTCAGTAGGAGTTCAATCCCCGTCAGGGAGGTGACCCACATGGGGCAGCAGACCTCTCCTGACCAGCCTGCTGCTCCCCTCAGCAGTGTACTTCGTCGATCTGCCTGAGAATTTCAAGGGCCTTCATCATAAATGGGTGTTGGACTTTAACAAATGCTTTCTCAGCATCTATTGATAGGATCATATGGTCTTACCGTATGCCAAATATGATGCTGACTCTGGGGACAAACCTATGATGAAACTCTTACCCTCACTGACTTTACGGTGCTGGTTTGTACCAGTTTTTGCTCCTAGAAATCAGAGAGCAGTGTCTCTTGCCAGTGACTCAAGTGGCTCAGTCAAAGTCAGCGGCCTTTGAGAACAATAAAAATCCATGAGGGGCTTTTGGAAACTTCTAACTTCCTAGTGTCGGTCAGTTATAGTCCCCCACTACATGCAGTGGTACACCAGGGGAGGACAGCGGACGTCAAGTCAGGAGAAAGCCAAGGCATGCATTACGTTACCACATCTGTTTCCTTCCAGAGAGGTCCCATTTCTCTTGGGGCTGGAGCCTGGGGGCCTCAGACCAGGTGCCAAGGCGCCTCCCGAGGACATGGTGCTGGTACGGGGACCAATGGCAGTGGTGGTGGGGCCTCCCGCAAGGTCTCCAGAGTACAGCTTCTTGCAGTACAGTGAGGAGGAGGTGGGCAGGGAGCCCCTATGGTTAAAGGTGGAGGCGGAGGGGTCCACACAGTAGCGATTCATGGCCACAGGGTTCACCAGGCACTCCTCCGTGGGGACTGTCTTTGCTAAGCAAGAAAACAGAGCACAGAGGCAGAGATCAGAGAGCAGTTCACGACAGCACCTGGTGCTCAGACTTGGCAAACCTCTCCCCAGAGGCTGGGTGTCACCATCTGTAGGGACGAGTAATGAGGGATGGAGCCATGACAAAATCCCAAGTCTCTCCCCACTCAGTAGGCTGAGACATGTGCCTCATCAACAAAGCATTTGATTGCAGGAATTAGGAGACGGCACCTTTCTGTTCAGAGGGAAAAGTGGTTATCCTGGATGTGGGTGACTTCTACATGAAATGCAAAGATCTTTTCCCCTCCATGTCTTTGCCCCTCCAGTGGTCGCTGACAGCTTATCTGAACCTTCCCATCCTCTCCCTTCTTGTCCATCACTATTGCTTCCTTCACCTGGTCCAGGCTTCCTGGACTGTCACCTGGTCCAGGTGTCATAATGCCCCAGAGTTGAGAGAATCCACCTGGGCATGGGTGGTGACACAGGTGCATGGTGCATTCTTTCTCCCCACATTTCTAGTTCTGATACCACACAGGCGCTAACCTCTGTCAAAGGTAACAAAGTGGGGGCATACATACTGGTCTGGGTGGCCCCTGCAGGTCAGAAATAAGGAGCCAATCTACAACTGACACAGAGTACAGAACCCGAGGAGTCTGCCAGCCTCATCAACAGCTCCCCTCCCCCAAATAAGTCAGAATTTACTACACTTACAAAGTTCAACTTTGCAATGTGTTGAACCCTGACTGTGGCCAAGTAGTACAGGGGGGTTTGTTTGTTTTGAGGAACAAAGGTCAAGTCAACTGTAGTGATAGAATGAGGAAGGAAAGCATTCTAGTGATTCTCCTTCTCTTCAGTAATTTTGATCCCAGACAAAATCATTTCTGCTTAGCTCAATCAATGACTATATTTAGATTAGACATGACCACAACAGATCTTGACGCCCTGCCATTATGTGCTAGAATAACAAAACCTGTGGCTCCACCAAGGTTGGCTATGGGGAACCACATTGGGCTACAAGATGCAAATATTTCTTCCATGTATGGACTTTCTTACAATACAGGCATTGCAAGATTAAAACTTTACAGTATTAAGAAGACAGGAGGTCTCCTCACATATGGGGATGCAGGTGGAGGGTGCCTAACAATGTCATTGTGAAAGGATGCAGCTAGAACAGTGCTTAGAGTGGAATTTATTTTTTTATTCATTTTTACTTAATTTATTTACACAGACATTTAATGACATGTTAGTCCTGAGTTGTACAGATATTTAAGTTGCACT